AAGATGAGCCCCCAATCTTTAAATATCACCCAGTCCATGAGCTGCAAGACAGAAATAGGTTAGAGAGACCCCCGACATTGAGCCAGGGGAGGCCCCTCCAATGCCTAAATCAGTATCGCGATCAATAACTGGAACAGACGAATGTATAAATAAAAAAAATAATATAGGTGTGTGTGTGTGAAGTATAAAACCAAGGTGCTCATACTTGAGACCTCCTTTTTCTTGGGTCTTCACCCATATATATAGAGAAAATTAGAGACACTTATCATCATGTACTATGTAGCCGTCAATGCAGGCAAATAGGCATGGACTAGCCTGTCAAAACACTCATTGTCTGCCATATATTTATTGTAGTAGGTCTCATTTGTGATATTTGTTAAGTCATTTATACTTCTTCCTTAGGAGTGGGGCTGGTGGACTTACCCGACAAATAATGTTCCATCAAGAATATAGTAGGCCTAAATTATTTAAAGACTTAAATATAATATAAAACTTATTTTATAATCTATTTTTTGCTTGTTTTTAGTTGGATCTCTTATCCAACCTCTTCTTCTGTAACTCATCTTTAATTTTTATTAATACAAGAGTTATGTTTCCTGTCACAAAAAAGGTAAATAAATAAAGAAAAGTTGGATTGATAATCAGGGAAAGATTATCTGAAAATCACAAAATAAGGACGGATAGATGGGAACATAACTCACCTTAGAAAGGATAAATAGGGAATCACTCACCTAAAAAAAGGATTCACCTTCAACAGAGGAATCGCTCGACTCCCAAATGGAGACTCTAAGCACTCTCAATTTCACAATTTTTAGTCATCAAAACTCTCAATCCCTCATCCTATTTACAAGTATAAGTACTACTACATCTATAGATAGATATAACTAATTACTACATAGGAAATAGATGTTATTCTTGAAGCTATACTTTGATCACTGGGACTTGGTTTCCCTGAAACTCTACTATCCTGTTTGAAGTTTGTCTAGCAATATTCTCATACTTCTTGACTGTATGACTTTTTCCCACGCAGCGAATACTCATCCTCAGAGTTTTATCGTTTCGTGCTTTAGTTGTCGCTTGAACTTAACCACTCGACCTGTCCAATTTTTCACACTTGGTTGCTTGAACTTATGCTTTCGACCTATACAAAATTGAGGTGGTTTCTGCTTGAACTTGCAATGCCTCTTATGCTTCGGAGTTGGATCCCAAAAACCAAGGTTGTTAATGCGAAATAGTACCGTGCCAAGTCGCATTAGTATCGTACATATATGCCGTGAAAATGTACATCAAAAGTATTTTTGTCAATAAACTTAGACTTCTCAACTAGAGATGAAACATCATTAGATTCGTCTATATAGACCACCGTAGTACTTAACCAACAAAAGTAATTACAACACCTAAATGATTGGATTTCAATAGAGTGAAAGAAAAATTAAGAATCCTTGCACGATTTTCTCTTGATCTTTCTCATAGAAAATAATGGATAATGGAACTCACTTTGGATCTATTAGTGATCAAAACTCCATCTTCATCATATTTATTGTAGATTGGTAAAGTTTTGCAACCCTCTCAACTTTGAGGTAAATCATCATTGCAACCATCCATGAGTAATTTGCTTTGATATTTGATGATGCACAAAGTTGATTACACATGATCAAATTAGTCGAGTGTGTGGTATAAAGTAATTAATGAAACAATTAATAATAAGAGACAAAAATTGGGTGGTTAGGTCTGGATGACCTAACCACTTAAGGCGGCAATGGTGACCGAAGAACTCTACTAATGAGAGAGCATAAGGTAGTAAAAGAGAGAGAGAGAGAGAGAGAGAGAGAGAGAGAGAGAGCAAGAGTATGCTCAAGGTAAAGTGTGTGAGATCTGCCCCCATGTGTAAGGGGTTTACAATTTATGGGTACAAAGTCCTAGCTGAGGTAGTGATGTGAGGATCAAAGTACTAGTTTATCAGGAAGGATAATTACAATTGGGGATAGACACTATCTTGGAGTCATGGCTATCCCGCTGATTGCTCTCCCACGCACTTTGACTCTTCTTGGACTCTTGAACTTTGGACTGGACTGAAGTTATGAGCTAAGTTTGGTCTGTCTTTTGATGGTTTGATCTCAATCCATGAACTAGGCCCAGGCCTGGTATGAATCTGGGCTTGTCAATACTAACTTGATGCAAGTCAAAATTATTTAAGGACTCAAATATAAATAGAAGATTTGGATTGATAATCAGAGACAGAGAATATTACATGAAAATCGCAAAAAGAAGGAATGACAGACGGAGAGTCACTCATCCGAAAAAGGTTAAACGGGGGCTCACTCACTTTTAAAAGAGAAATCACCCAACTCTCAAATGGATTAAATGGGGTGAGGGAGGAAGGATACTTAAGGGATCTTGTTGTATATCTAGTATGAATTCATTTCTTCCTAAAACATACTCTTGTAATAGTTGAAATACTTTTAATAGTTATGCATCCCATTGTCTTTTTTTTTTTTTGCAGCACATTGGGGGGGAACTCTAGGTACAATCACCTTGGTTCCCTTACAAAAGAAATGCAAGCTAGACCAGCAAGCAAACAAGAGGAGAGACTTGTTGGTGGGTGGATTAGTTCCACCATCCCCTCGCCTAGATCCACTCCCATATTTGCCAAAATGTCAGCACTTTGGTTTCCTTCCCCCAGAGTGTGCCGGACTTCATAGTTGTGGGACTTGATTATGCTCCTACAATTAGCAACAAGATGCTTGAGGGTCGCACACTCCCCTTGAAGTTCTAGGAGGAGGTTGTATGCCATATAGGAATCAGTCTCCACTATAATTCTTAGAGAGCTATCTTTGAGCAACTCCAGACCCTTGTAGATAGCCCAGAGTTCTGCTTAGAGGTTGGATGTATCATTGATTCGCCCATATCCATCTGCCTTTGTCATCCCTGAGGATTCCTCCGATACCAACAGGGCCAGGATTGCCTTTGGAGCTCCCATCCGTGTTCAATTTATACCAACCTGCAGGAAGAAATTCCTAAGAAATTAGTTTAGGTACATTGGCAACTAACTCAAGTGCCCCACTCTCATAGGCTTGGGTGATTTCCTGAGCTTGTTGCTTAATCATCTTTCCAACAACAAATGCTGGTGTACTAATGTTTTCTATGCATTGTTTATTTCTATCTTTCCAAATATTCTACAAGATGATAACAACAATTGCTTAGGGGATGTTGATGAACCCAAATCTAATCGGGTTAGACCCAATAAATCAGGATAGCTCAAATCAGTTACAAGGTGGGTCAAGTCCAATTCATGGATTCGACCTAGTTTAGAGTTCAAAGATTCTAAGAAGAATTAAAGCACATAGAGAGGAATTATCGGGATACTCCATCACGAAGATTAAGACAATTTTTTATGACAATTACCTTTTTTAGACTCTTGGAGAATTAGCACATTTGCTCTCAAGTCACTGCCTTAATCAAGGCCCTGTGCTTATAAATTGTAAGTCCTCTCTATATTTCTCTACACACACATAGCTTTTCTCTCTCCTAATTATTGTACTTCTCCTGGAACTAACTATTGCTCTCTCTCTCGTTTACCTTACTTCATCAATAAAGGTCTCCCAACCACTGTTGCTGTTTCCTAGAGTGGAGGAGGTCACCTAGACCAAACCACCATATATCTGTGTATTGACTCAATATTTACATTACTATCATTAATTACACCTTATCACACACTCGACTATTGATCTTGTACGAGAATATTTTGTGCATTATCATTAGGGGTGTCCATGGGCTAGGCCGGCGAAATTTTTTTTCGGGTCAAGCTTGGGTAGTGTAAACCTAAGCCCTTACCCAAGTGAGTAATCGGGCGGGCCGGGCCGAACTTTGGGTAGGGGTAAGCAACCCGCAGCCCAACCCGTGAGCCTATTGGGCAGGCCTACTTGCGGGCTTTTTTATATACATATTTATTTAAAAATAATGAATATTTTTGTAACTTAACATTTGTGTAAATTATATTTTTGAATCAAAAGTAAAATCAAAATGGATAAAAATAAAATAATGAACTATATACAATAAAATGAATAAATCCCAACTAGATTGACACTTACTAACTTATCAGTCGTTTGCATTATTCTATCGTTTAAAACTTATATGCTTAATATATGGAAAAAATAATAATACATTATTTATAATATCTAAATTTTTAAAATTTTAAATTTCGATATTAGGAGAATTGTTTCAAAGTTTTAAATTTAATGGTCTAAAAATATAACTTTTTTTCAAAGGAATGGTTGGTCTTGTGGGCGGGCTTGACGGGTGGGCTTTTGGGCCGGATAATGGGTTTGGGGGTAAATCCAAGCCCTCTTTTTAACAATATTAGGCTTTGGCTCAGGCGGGCTAACTATAGGATCTATCGGGCTTCGGACCTATTTTTTTCGGGCTAGATAATGGGACTCATGGGTAACCCGGCTCATGGATACCCCTAATCATCATTTTGACACCATCTGTGGGAAGCGATTAAGTTTTCTACTATCTTAATACTTTCTTTCAAATATATGACAATTACGACCAGCTCAATGATTCAACAACCGGGGGATAACAACCCGGTTCGTCGGGAGGAGGCTTCGTCTTAGCCCACAATCCTATCCATGAACCACTAAGCAAAAGATGACCTGTCACATCATGACGAGGTCCCGCCATCACCAACGAAAATTAGACACATGCAAAATCATTTTTTTTCACTAATTTTGGGTTAAAAACTCAAATTTAGAGAGAAAGAAGTATTTTTTACGAAAATTTGTTGCCCAAATTGCCTTTGCCTGTTTGTATGTTGTAGATCTTGAAAAAATATCCGAATTCAAAAAAATAATTCGCCTCAAACAGACAACCAAGCACAAAGTTATGGCCATTCAAAGTTTTACCATTTTTTTCTTGACTTTTTGATACTCCGGTCGACGCCCCAATGCCCTCTCCCTTCTCCTGGCGCCTCCAAGGCCACCTATGTTTCCTGGCATCACCTAGGCCTCCCTGGTGTTGCCAAGACCAGTACTAATACCAGTACCAGCTAGCGCCCAGGCAGAGTCGCCTAGGCTGGTTGTTGCCCACCGCCCCTCAGCGTCCATGCCCAACGGCACCCAGCACCCCTCGACATCTGTGCCCAATAGTTAGTGCCTAGTGCCTCTTGGCATCCATGCCCAACAGTCAGTGCCAAGCGCCAATGACCCTAGACGTCGTGTAATCAACTCGAGGCGTCACGCAAGTGACCCGAGGAGTCACCTAAGCAAGGCTTCGCCCAAGCGACTCGAGGTGTTGCCCAAGGCAACCCGAAGTAATGCCTTCTCCGTCGACATTGTGCTCAGGGCACTGCCGCCAAACAAGGCCAGTTCTTCCCTCATTGGCGTCTCCTTGTTCGGCGTCTCCAGCGCCAACGCCCAACAGTCTGCGCCCATCGACACCCATTTGTTACTTGGATAAGGATTGACTCGGGACTTAGAAACCTTATGAAACTCTACTCTGAGTATCAGGGGACTGTTGAGAAACAACGCCTCTTGGCGAGCACATCTCATCCTACAATCTAGGACTCAACGTACTAATACGACTCTACCCCAAATGTCTAGGGCATTAGTGATGAGGTCTATCATATCACAACCTGTAATTCAAGTCCATGTGGAACACCGTTTCCTGTACCATTATAAATAAAGGTTCTGAGTACCATGTATGTTATGGAATTTTAGCATATTTACCATATACTTTTTCTTTGACTTGTTTACTGACTTAAGCATCGGAGTTCCTTTGGCCACCTCCGGCCATCGATTCGGCTAGATTTTCTCTTGTCTTGCAAGTTTACCAAAACTCCCTCACCATCATCTTTGTTTGTCTAAGGTAGTCGAAATCGAGCGGGCATCAAGAATAAGAATCAACCTCTAAAACATCTGTTCTTTGGCCTCACATGGATTGTAGTGTTGAACTGATTCTTGAGCTAATTAGAATCCTTGAATTCGACCAGGGAAGTCCCAGTCGCCACCCATTCCTCAGTGCCCAACAATGCTCTCATGCAAGAATCCTATATCTCTAGCTTTGCACTCTCTCGCAAGTCGCCAAGGAGCTCGGCCTAATCCTGCCTATACTCTCAAGCAGTATATATCTCTAGCTTCGCACTCTCTCACGAGTTTCCAGGAAGCTCGGCCTAATTTTACCTTTGCTTCCAAGCAGCCTCAATCTCCAACTTAGCGTCTCTCTCGCGAGTCGGCAAAAAACTTGGTCTCACTCTGCCTATACTCTCATGTACGGGAGTCCCGGGAGTTTACACCACCACAGGAATCTTGGGAGAAAGTGTCATGCGCCACTGCGCTTGCCTGCTCAGTGCATAATGCTTCCACCCACCATGTGGCAAGCCTATACACTATCCCAAGAAAGCCCGACGTCTTGGAGACAGCTCCACAGGACTTAGGGGACCATACTCTGAGACTAAAGGCGCCCGGCTCCTTTGTGCCTACTCCACGGGAGCAAGCCTCAGGAGACCATACTCCGAGACTAGAGGCGTCCGACTCCTTTGTGCCTACTCCACGAGAGCTCTCTACGTCAGCGTTACCGTCTATTGTACCATGTTGGAGACTATACATGGATGAGTCCTCCACCAGCGAGGATGATGGCTTAGAACTAGTGCTAATCAGCCCCCATGACACTCCACTCAAGTACATAGTTTCTCTCCACTTTGCAACATCCAACAGCTAAGATGAATATGAGGCCCTCAAATCAGGCTTGAAGCTCACACTGCCTGACAGCCTACAGTGACTCACAGCTGATAATCAACCAGGTAAAGCGAGGGCTTTCCTAGGCATTCGTACCCAGCGCCCAGCACCTAGGCACCCGTGCCAACCAATGCCCAGCACCCCTCTGCGTTCATACCCAGCACCTCAGCGTCATCCTTGCCCAATGGCGGCTGTTTTACAATCTCCAACTTAGCGGCTCTCACGAGAGTCACCAGAAAGTTTGGCTTATCTCTATTCTACTCTCAAGCAGCCATCTTATATCTTTAGCTTAGCAGCTCTCAAGAGAGTTGCCAAAAACTTGACATATCTCTGCTTCGCTCTCAAGCAAGTAAGCTATGTCTCCAGCTTAGCGGCTCTCTCGCATGTCACCAAAAGCTTAATTTATCTCTGTTTTACTCTCAAGCAAGCAACATATGTCTCCAGCTTAGCGAATCTCACGAGAGTCACCAAATGCTTGGCCTCTCTCTATTTTGCTCTTAACCAGACAGCCTATATCTTCAGTTTAGTAACTGTCACGAGTGTCACTAAAAAGGTTGACCTATCTCTGCTTTGCTCCCAAGCAAACAGCCTATATCTCCAGGTTAGTTACTCTCTCACAGGTCACCAAAAGCTTAACCTATCTCTGTTCAGGTCTCAAGCAGACAACCTATATCTCCAGCTTAGCGACTCTCATGAGAGTCACAAAAAATTTGGTCTATCTTTGCTTCGCTCTCAAGCAAGCAACCTATGTCTCCAACTTAGTGGCTCTTTCGCAGGTAGCCAAAAGATTGACCTATTTCTGCTCTACTCTCAAGTAGGTAGTCTATGTCTCCAGTTTAGTGGCTCTCTCGCGGGTCACCAAAAGCTTGGCCTATCTTTGCTCTGCTATCAAGTAAGCAGCTTATATTTCTAGCTTAGCGGCTCTCATGAGGGTCACCAAAAGGTTGGCCTATCTTTGCTCTACTCTTAAGCAGGTAGCCTATGTCTCCAGCTTAGCAACTCTCTCACAAGTCACCAAAAGCTTGGCCTAATCCTAACTCTGCTCTGAAGCAACCATGATCTCCTAGAAGCTTGGCCTCAAGAGTTGTTGCTCTCTCATGAGCCAACCACAACTGTAACTTGGTGCCTAGGTTTCTCCTCCACCAAAGCCTCGACATTCGTTGAGTTTGAGCGTCCTCCAAAGTACTAAAAAGTCGTAGCCATCTGCAAATTTTCGAAAGCCAGAATGTCAACATTACCATGCATACAGAACAGAGGGTTCCATATAACAGCGGGGTACCATAACAAAGGCCTCTATCTCGGTATCGATGATACCCTCAAGAACCCGAGAGTTGACATCCAAGGGTGTCACAAACCTCCAAAGCCTCTCCTTAGCCAAAATTCACATCCTCCAACAGGGACACCAGGTCATTGTGTGACGCCCCAAAATCTGGGTGTCCGTAATTACCTTATTGATCACTCGTCAACCCGCAAAATACCTGTGCATACCGTATAACTCAATACCACGCCTTTATGCCCCATTTATCAGGATCCATAACTTAACAAAATTCAGAAAAAATCTCCTTTGTACGGGGAGCTCTATTCAAAATGCAACCTGTGCAATTATACAACATTGACCACACCGGGTCCATTCACCTTTATTCAATTGCATAGTTTCAGATACTACTATAATCATAATCACTACGTACATTCATTCATAAAAGAATAAATGTCTCAAAAGAGTCTCATGTACATGTCTTTTAAATATAAACAAATTTTTTGTTACAAAAATTATACAAGGCCAAAAGTATATATAAACAAGGGACTACAACGTCAAAATAAAAGCCACAGTCTGGCTCTATCGTCAAAACGGATTAGTAGGAGGGCATTCAGTGAAAGCCTATGGTGTACCTAAAAATTGTTTCCATAAAGGGTGAGTCAACGCTCAATAGGATAACTCTTATAGAAAATACCTTTCAACCTCAATGCATATGGAATGTCGTATGCGACAATCATTTCAAGCATTCATTCAAATATGTCTATTATAAATAAATGTTATAAATTATGTCATGCTATGAGATGAGACTTACGTAAGCAATACCAACACCGAGCCCTATCCCGAGCTCCCACAATACATGCAATGCTATACGTATGCATCTAGGCATTCCAAGCCCCTGTCATTGGTATTATGGACACTCAATGACTAATTAATTTATAAAACAAGTAAGCGGGTCTTGTACCTGAGGGATAATCTAGTCCTTCTTGCTATACCCCGACATGTTTATCCATTTAATTTTCTATGCGACTCAGCCGGACCTTGGTGCAACTTTCTCGAGCCCATGATCAATTGATTTCATACCATGCACACATTTCCACCAATGTCAATTTCCATGAATGTAATGCAACCCATGCATAATGCAATACAATGTGCAATTGCCTTTGGTACAATTTACAATGTCTATTACATAATTAATGCAATATAATGACATTTCAACACAATCCCAAACATGTTATGTACGATAATCAACTCAACTAATATATTTGTATTCACATAGGCATTTAAACAAACACTTAGAGGGCACATCAAGTTACACAACATGACAACATATTTATTACTTCCAACATGACAATATGTTTATTAATTCTATAAATATAAATACAAATCCACTACACTAATTATATGTTAAATAATCATTTAACATACATATTATTTCATAATCATATAACAAGTTAATAATTTTATTAAACTTGATATGTCATTAAAACATCAAGTCGTGCTAATGTACAATTAACATACTTTAAACCAGTAACATTAACTTACACCAAGTTAATTATAAAAAGATTTTACTAATTACAAGGTTAATTATAAATCCTATATTTGACCCTCTAGTTACACTAGTCAAGACCTAACATGTGATACACATCCTTAACCTACCCATTTCATATGTCATATTTTAGGTAGAAATTACATCTAAATAGGGGAAACCTTACCTCTCGTAGCATGAGCCCACGTAGTAGACCTCCAAGGAAAGCCCGAATTTAGCTTTTCAAGCCTTAGACCAAGATTCTCGTCTTTGATAGTTTTGGAGAAAAATACGATCTTTGGTGTAGTTGCGTAACTCTCGTTGCATAGAACAATTTTAATTCTTGGCCCGAAGCGATTAAACGATTTAATTTTCGTAGATCTGAGAAAGAAGATCAGGATGTCTACCTTTTTTTCCTTTTCTTTTTTCTCTCTTTTCTATCTCTCAGTCTCGCTGACCTCTGGAGAAGAAAAATAAAAGTGGAAGACATTCTAAATAGCCTAAATTTTTGTGGCCCACATTGCGTCACACGTATTTTTTTAAACGGATCTAATTTTTATTTCGAATAAATTAAATTTCATCCCATGTTAAATTTAATATTTTTTTATTGAATTAATTTTAAATTATTTTATAGATCTTGCGAATAAAATTTAATCGCAATTATTTTAGTCACTCGATACCCGATCACTTTGTAACACTTGAAAAATTCAATTGTTTGAGAATTTTAAATGTACTGGGTAACTAGATTTCACGAGACGAATCCAGCGATGAGGTCCGTTTCGTTATCTGAATTTTATAAAAATTCACGTTTTTGACTCGTGCTTTAACAATTAATTATTATTTTACCCCTTTAATTAGGATTTTAATTTTTTTTTTTCGGGTTTTACACATTGCTAGAAACAGTATAATTATTTGAAGCACTGAGAGCATCAAACCCCGCCTTCTAAGAAATAGCAGGAGGGGAAGCCACCATATGGAACAAGACATCTGTTCTACCCAAAGGAAAGAGCTCACTCATGTCCTCAACCCCCAGTCACTACTAGGGCTTGGGGTATGGGGGGTAAATGATGAACCCAAATTTAATTGGGTCAGACCCAATAAATCAAGTTAGCCCAAATCAGCTACAAGGTGGGTCAAGCCCAATTCATGGATTCGGCCCAGTCCAGAATTCAAGGAGTTCAAGAAGAATTAGAGCACATGAGGAGAAATTATTAGGATACTCCCTCACAAAGATCAAGACAACCTTTTATGACAATTACCTTTTGTAGACATTTGGAGAATTAATACCTTTCCCCTCAAGTCACCGCTTTAACTAAGGCCCTATGCTTATAAATTGTAACTCCTTTCTATATGAGAGGACAAATTGAGCTCTACCGTTACACCTCTCTACACACATATAATTTTTCTCTCTCCTAACTATTGTACCTCTCCCAGAGCTAACCATTACTCTCTCCCTCTCATTTACTTTACTTCTTCAATAAAGGTCCCCCGGCCACCATTGCCGTTTCTCAAAGTAGAGTAGGTCACCTGGACCGAACCACTATATATCTGTGTGTTGACTTAATATTTACATTACTACTATTGATTGCTTTATTAATTGTCCATTAATTACACCTTATCACACACTCGACTGTTGATCTTGCACGAAATTATTTTGTGTATCATCATATGCCATTCCAAAGTTTCCCATGCGACTGTTTATAGTGCAATTGTATCCAGCTAGTCAAATCTAAAAAAAATTCATTAGCATGGAATGTATAGAAGTGGTTCTGGACTGCTTGGGTCATTTTGCAATCCATCAGAATATGCAAAGTGGATTCCACAGTGGCTCCACATCTCTTACAAGTAGGATCCTCAGTCATATTTCTGGTTGCTCTGAGGTTATTCGATAATAATGTGTCATGATTAACTAACCACAAAATCATTCTCAGCTTTTGAGGAATTTTCATCCTCCAAATCCAAATTTAGTATTCCGAGTGTTCAATACTCGTTTTCCTCTTCCATAGATAATCATACACAGTTTTTGTAGAGAATCTATCTCTTGGTCCTGGTCCCCAGCAAGGTTGGTCCTCCTGAGGGAGATCCATAGGCAAATGTGTATACATAATGTCTCGCAGTATATGTGGAGGCAGTGACATACCTAAATACTAGATTTTCCACTTCCCTTCCTCATTGATAAAATCTACAACTTTGTCATTCATGTTAGCATTTGGGGGAAGGGGGATTGTATCAATTAATGGGCCATTTCCAATCCACCAGTCTGTCCAAATTTTCATTCTCTGGTCATTTCCAATACCCCCAACAAGTACTTGTATCAAGGATATTCTTAATTTTAAGCAATGTATTCCAAGTTATGGATGTATTAGATTTATTCTCCCGGGTTGGCAAGCCACCGGGATTATATTTCTTGTTAACCACTTCCACCCATAATGATCTAGAATTATTTTTGACTTTCCAACCCAATTTAGAAATAAGGGCAATGTTCTCTGGCCATCCTCATCCCTAAACTACCCTTATTCTTAGGTCTACAAACTTTTTCCCAGTTAATGAGATGAACTCTTTTCCTATCATTAGTGTCCCCCCCATAAGAAATTTCTGTTAAGCATGTCTAGACTCTCACAAGTGACTTGAGGTAGACATTGTGTTTGCATAGTGTAATTTGGGAGGAAAAGTAGATGAAAAATTAATTATGTGTGTTAAAATGTATGCTACTTGTCTATATATCATATTTATCATATATATATTATGTATAGAATTAATTTCATATACATATATAATAATTAAATATGTATTTATACATTTTTTTCAAAAAAATATTTTTTTTCATCTTACCAAACACAAAAAGAATAAATCCTTCCTACTTTTCATCACTTTTACCAAACACAAAAGAAAAAGGAAAGGATTCCTCACTTGAAGGATAAAAAGTATATCACTTCTATTTTTTCATCCTTTCATTTTTTTATATTAATGTGTCATTATGAATATTTTATGTTTTTCTAATTTGGAAAATAAAAAAAACAAGGGTTACTTACAAATTGCCCCCTTGAACTTTGGGTCTTATTTCAATCTGGATCCTCTGGTTTAAAATTAAACAATTTGTCCCTTCAAGTTCCAAAATTAACAAGTTGATTGATTAATTAGACAAAAACTTTATAAAATTACTTTTGTACCCTTAACTTTTATTCATCTCCATTTTCTTTCATTTTTCTTTATGCAATTGAGCCAAAATCTCCAACGCCATCAGCTACAAACCACCGTAACCATGCCCCAGCCAACAACCACAGCCACCACCAAACCACCCAGCCATAACCACCAACCAACACAACTACAATCAATCAGTCCATAAACCAACATAGCCCCCACCCAACCACCAAGCCATAACCACTGTAGCCACAATCAACCAGCGAAAAAACATCCGTAGCCACCACCCAGTCACTCAACCATAAACCACCCTATCCATCACCCAACCAACTAGCCAATAACCACCGCAGCCACAAACCACCATAGCCACCACCCAACCACAAACCATCGGATCCATAGTGAAGAGGGAGGGTTTCAGTGGGGGTTTGGTTTCAGTTTCAATGGAGGGGGGGGGATTAGGGAGTTGCGGGAAGGGTGGGGGTGGGTTTTAGTTTTAGCGGGGGAAGGGATTTGGGTTTTGGTTCAGTGGATGGGGAGGGATTAAGGAATTGTGGGAAGGGTGAGGGTGAGTTTCGGTTTCAATTGGGGGGGGGGGGAGGGGAGGGATTTGGGTTTTTCACCGGAATTGGATTTTTACCGGACTTGGGTTTTTTCTTTAATTTTGATTTTTACATAAAATATTAAGACAATGGTAGTTGTGAGTTTTTTGATTAATTTAAGTCATTTTTAACAGTGGTCAACTAAGCCAGAGGGATCTGATTGAAATAAGACCCAAAATTAACCCTAAAAACAAATAAGAGTTAATTCAAATGGCAAGAATTCTTGAATCTAAGTAAGAAGTCATTTTTAACAGTGGTCACCTAAATCAGAGGGATCTGATTGAAATAATACCCAAAATTAACCCTAAAAACAAATAAGAGTTAATTCAAATGGCAAGAATTCTTGAATCTAAGTAAGACGCTAGGAGTTTGGGTGAAAGGTAAGGCTCCACCACCGAGTGGGGGGGTAGTCCAATGGGCTATTGATCGAATTTTTAATTTTGAGGTTGGAGATTCGAGTTTTAGAGTCTACATTGGGGTTCGGTGATTAACCGCTATACTAACTCAATTAGGTTCGTTCCCGAGAGGTATAATGGGTGCAATTAGGAACCTCATAATCTCACTAGTAAGGGCCTATCGGAGTGATTTCTGAACGTTTCTCCTTTGCCTCTGTCACTTTTATTCAATAACAAAAAAGAAAAAAAGAAAAAAAGGTAAGGCTGCAATCCAAACAAGACACGGGTTTTACTAGGTTGAGAACTTAGATCTGACCCGCAGCTTCCTTGCTAGTTAAAAATGAAAAAAATTAGTTACACAAAAATAGGTGCTTTGCGGGCTCGCTCTCTGTCTTAGGTTTATGAGAATTGCACTTCTTTTCTCTCGTTTACGTGGTTCAACTAGCGTTACATTTCCACATAAATAAACATGACCTGAAAAATGTTACGTATATATTTTTTGAGAAAATATAAACAAATCGAAAAATAAATATATATCCAATCTATTGACCCCACTACCTAAATAACTACCTAAAAAACCTTAGAAGGCGGCCAACCAACTTCGGTGTCCTCGTAACAAACATGATCAATTCCTTCAATCCCTTGACAAGTGGGTTGTCCTATGCTAAATCCAAGCAAGAATGACATTTGATACGTTCCAACTGGCTCTCCCGTTGGGTTGGATCGAGTCCTACGAGAAAATATAATGTCTTGCTGTTGCTGTTGAATTGTGCTCCCATGCCACATGTTTATTCATTCCACCTTGGTTCTTCATCTCTTCCTTCACTTGAGTGGCAACTTGCTTTTGCACTGTATCATGTGTAGTCATTCTCTTAGCCTTTTCTTGCACAATGGTCTTGGTCCAGTCCATCCTAGTCTTCGCCCTTGCAACCATGTTTGCTGGCGACTTCTTCACAGACTCAACTGCATCTTTTCTGGTTGCATCATGGCTGATTTTTGATTCCTTCTCATCAACAAAGCTCATCGATCAATCTCTTAGAATGCTTTTTGAAAATCAATACGCATAAACTTCAAAATATGTAATAGAATAGTCATTAATAGGATCATCGACAATTGTAATACCAATTGTTACGTGCACGTTTTCAAGGAATTTAAAAAACAATTGTTATGTGTTTTAATTGAGAGTATTTTATTTAATTTTATTCCTTTATCTGAATATTATATAAGTGTATTACTAGAAGATTACATAGGGAAAGTGGTATAATTATAATAGATTTAGCTAGTTATCTAGGCAGTGGGGTCAATGGATTTAGTAGCTATATTTTAGGTGTTATCTCTTTCTATTTAAAGATGTTATAGATGAATAAAAAATATAGTGAATATTTGTGATAAACTTTTTTGTGAAAGGTTTGGGAGGTCAGGTTCTTCTCGAAGTGAACAAACGGAGGTTTTTACCCCCTTCAAAGTGGGTTTCCTTTTCTCAATTCTATTTTTCATTTTGTTTATATTTTTTCCAAAAAACGTACACGTAACAATTGATATCAGAGCCAGTTATCTAACAATGGGAACATCATTTGAGATTTTGAAATCAATATGTGATGATTTTCAATAACTGTTCAACAAATTTTGATTGAGGAAAATCAACACATGTTAGAAGGATTCAATAGGGTTGGTAAAATTCTTCAAGAAGTGTTGTGTTCGTGCAGCAATTATGGTGAATAGTAAGGAATCAAACAATTAAGAAAGTAGGAGAAAATAACACACAGAGATTTACGTGGTTCGGCAATGTGCCTACATCCACGAGAGCGAGCGGCCGTTCTTTTCCATTATAGAATAGGATTACATCTTAAGTATTTATATAACCATAATATGGACGTATTTACAAAAATACCCCTGTACCGTACCGCGGGGGCGTTGCCCCCGCACCCCCAACTAATCAGCGTCCCCTTTATATAAATCCCGCTCCGGCATCTACCTCCTTGCCATTATGCACACAGCAAATATGAGCTATACATACTCTAACAAGAAGTCAATTCAAAAAGCCAACCAACATCGTCAAACAACTGATCATGAAAAAAGTTTCATTATTGATGAGAAGTATGAATTTGGTGGTGACATCTTCACTAAACCAAAGAAATTCCTGTGTGCAGTTTGAGAGCCCTCCATTTCACATTGATTTCATCAGTTCATGTCTTTTGTGCATCACGTCGGTTGAGAGACCCATGATAGCAGCACCATAGAAGACAATGAAACTCTCCTTCTTATTTTATATGATCAATGAAATTTTCTGGATAAAGTTTTTAAGGGGGAAGGATTGATACGTGCTTTTAATTTTATATTTATCTAAATATTATGTAAACCAATTTCTAAGAGTTTATGAAGGGAGTGTGTTTGTGGTGTAATTTTAATAGATTTTTTGGTCTGTCCTCCAATAAGATGTTGCTTGATTGGGAAGAAAAATGATTTGGGTAAAATCTTATATCGGAAAACCTCTTTAAGAAAAATGGATGAGACCGATAAAAGTTTGTATTGATTTCAGGGAACGAAATAAGTTTTAATACATTTTTTCTTACCAATGAATCTTTGGTCCAATGGTACTCTCTCTCTCTCTCTCCCAAAAAAAAAAATATATTTTTTCTTCAATTCTTTTTTTGACACGTCACCTATCATACATTTAAGTGTAGAAGCGGAGCCACACAGGGCTAGTTGCCCCCACTCAGTTTCTTCTTGGAACAAATTTTTATATAGATTTTAATATATTCTAAATTTTCTCCCACAAAAAAAAATATTCATTTAAAATTTTTAATTATTTCTTACACTTTGATGAAATTTTTTACTCTAAATTAAGTGAACTTGAATAATGTTTATTTAGTTCAATCCCTCACTGTGTCTTGTCCCCACTCTTTCAAACAAAAGAGAAACAACGCCCGAAAAACTCTCAATAGCCAATTCAATAATCATAAGGCTCAAAATAGGCGGTTTTAGTGTCTAACTAAAAATATATTTGTAAAAATAGAACGATATAATGAGGCTGCACGAAATTGTTTATGGGTTCGTCCTTGTTGCTAGGGGGTGTGCTAATCAAAAGCCTTTGCAATTTACACAACTACACAGCCTACTAACTCACCTAGATCCACTACGCCCACAAGCATTCCAGGCTTGTCGAGACCAAATAATTTCAACAGCCTGTGAGCTTTTATCCCACCAGATAAAAGAAGAACATCAGCATCAAGCGCTATGTCCAGCAAACCACCAAAAAAAAAAAGGTACTACATCCATATGTGTGGGCTGGGTGCCATCATAAAATGGTGCCAACGTAGGTTGGTATTGCCTTGGCACGTTTGTTTTCGGTATCATAGGTACACTGTCATATGATTGACACGATCTGACCATGAAACCTACACTAGGATAACATATTGTCCCCAACTTTGGGCTTCTGAACCCTGCTACTCACATCCGGGAATAAGGCCACAGATTCCGACATATATTTACTAGTTCACTACTTTAAATCAAGTTTTTGGGTATTAAAATTTGATTTTTGTTGACTAAATTTTGGCGGGTTCGAGTTTTATGCTGTGGGAAGAATAACGTAGTATATTCACTTGCTCAAATCGAGTAAAAGATGAATGAGAAAATATGTTTTAAATTAACCCCTTTAAAATGTGGAAATAGAGGTTGGAGAATTGGTTGGGCAAGAAAATTTTGGTGAGTGTATATACCCAAAGTTGGCTTTAAGGGTTGGGCCCTAAGGGACACTCCACTTTTGTGAACAGGAAAGGACATAGATGGGATTGGGTTCGATCACCCGCCTGTCTTGGCCAGGCTTGGGTGTGGGTCAAACCCAATCTTATCTTTTTAGGTAAATTCGTTTGCTAAATGGGTCTTTAATTTTTTATCCAAATTTTAATTTATATCCACTAGAATTCAAATTTTCCACCAGTTTTGAGGTTGAATTTTGTGTATGTTCATGAATGGGCAAACATGAAATGTATTCTGAGTTGTATAGTGTCTTCTAGATTGCATCTGCTTAATGGTGAATGTTTTGAATAGTCACCTCTACATCTATAAATAACCCAGAATCATTATGCATTAAGTATTTACAAAATCTCGTGATTAAGGGAGTCATTACATTCATAATCTTCGTCATTAGTAGTGTCTAGTTTTGTGAGTACGAAACACATTCTGATTCACAGTGCATACAAATTGTATTGCTTCTTCAATGTGCGTGATCATTATATCCTGGGGAGGCAGACGCTCAAAAATCCATAAGTACCGAAGTGGAGACGAAATCTATCTTAATGACATAGTATGAAACACTAACCTCGATAAAAAAAATTTAAATAGTTTTTGTTCGGCAAGTAGGTCAATTTTATGTGTTACTATTTTGTTCTTAATTGTATGATCTACATGAAAAATCTCAATAAGTAAAAGCATAAATGATATCACATCCTCCCACCAATCTTAAGACATATTTTTGTATAATTACTTATTGCATTTCTAATTCATGTTATTAGTATTACAACCTGTTTAATACTTCAATTTTTAAGAACTTGAATTTTAGAATTTGTAGTATTTTGGTGATACTTCAATTATTTTGTGTAAAGTTACATTATGTTTTTGTGTAAAATTTATAATTTGTTTGTGTTTTACTGTAATAAGTGTTTTCAATTGTAAAGCAAAAATAATAACATAAGACAATTACAATAACGTTGAACAGTTACAACAACATTGGACAGTAACAATAACATAGAACAATGACTTTGGACAATAACGTTTGTTGTTTTTGTTTTGGTAAAGCGTTACTATTTTTCTGTTTTCGAATATTTTGCAATTTTGTTTAATAGAAATGTCTACAATTGAGAATAATGACTATAAAACCCCATATATTCATAATAATGTGGTGTGCATGTACATATCTAATGATTAAAAGATGGGTTATATATTTTATATTAGAAGATACTAAGAATTTTGAATCAGTGTTTGCATGTTTTGGGGGATTTTGGAGAGAATTGAATTATACACTACTAGGTATTTCAATCAAAACTTTTTACATTGAAATCATATGGAGCTAATTTTTAGAAAGCAGAAACTAAACCTCTAGGGCTACAAAACTATATTTCATCAAATATTTGTGAATCGACTTCTAAGTAAGGAAAAATTGTATTGGAAGTTAAGGTAGAAAACTAGATCCACATTTGAACACAAATTATGTTTGAACGGGGCTTAGCTACAATAGTTTAGTTTTTAACAGAAACTCTGACAGAAATCAAGATACTGGGAGTAAGGAAAGTTTGAAAGCCAATCTTCATTCAAACACAAGTGCGATTATGATAGTGATCAGACTCGCGATAACTGTTTAGATGCCAAGTCTATAAATACCCTAAGGACGTCTCTTCTGTCAAATTTCATCAGTTTTTAACCTTAGATAACCCTAGAGAGTGAGAGAGAAGGAGAAATCACAAGGATTCAAAGGGATTCTGAGTAAGAAACGGATCCAAGTGTTAAGTTTCACCGAACATCGAATTAAATGTAGGGTTCCTTTCTCAAATTCAATTTTGAGGCTAGGATTATTATTATGCTTTCAATTCTTATACATATGTTAGATAGTGTTTATACCAAAAACTAATAAGATCAAAGGTTGACACGTGGAAGGGATCCGACAGTCACAAGGGATTCTGTGAGAGTTCACGATTGAAAAAATGGTTAGAAGAGTAGGACTCTTAGAATCCTGAAAAATAAGGAAACATGACATTATGAACCGCTAGTTAAAAACTATTCAACACACATTCACGTATTTCAGGGACAAGGCCATGATCACAAGTAATGACCAGAAAAGATGGATCGACGGTTAAGAGTCATCTTTATAAATAGCAGAAGTCAGGCCACTGAGAAAGAATCCCACTACCAATCACAAAAACTCTGCACAAAGCTAGCCTAACCTTTTTATTTGTTTCTTGCTTCTGAGCAATTTTACTTTTCTTGTAGTTCATCACTCTGATGATCTTTTACTGTTTTCATTTAATG